GGTCATTAGAGACATGTTGATCAGCAGAAAACCACTACTTTCACACTTGTTCTTTTAACAAGACAATAAAGTCAGTGAAACTGGATTATATAAATTTTAAATTTGTGTCAGAATAATTATCTCCAGGAACTACTGGATATATTTTGGTGAAACTTTCTGCAAGGTTTTATTCCATGTATTTCTGCAACTAAACGTTTGTTGTCCATCCAGCTCTGCCACAGCTAATTAACATTGGCCAACACAAAAAATGTCTATAACTCAACCAGATTACAGATTATAAGCTAATATTTCATGTGGTAGTTGTTAAAAGTCATTCACAACACATAATCTGAATGTGACATGAAGTAATCACACATTATATTGTTTTTAATACCAAAACTACAATTCTGACGTTTCTCAACACAACAGTCCATTTTTCTGGCATGCATGGCAGGCGATATGCATTTCTTTATGGTTTGCTGTGCCTGTGAACTTGTTTCAGGCTCATTTTCATTTTATTTTGTAAATGAGACCAAAACATAACAAAAATTTGAAATAAATTATTATAAAATGGCAAACAAAATATCAAAAGGAACTGTTTTCCAATGACAGTTTTTGTGTGTGTGTTAGAGTGAACAGTGTGTCCTGCAGGCAGTCGAGACAATGATGATGTGTAATATGGATACATTTAGTGGGAATGTCCATTTTAGGTCAAACTTCATTTATTATGCCCAAGCAAGTAGTTTTTAACTAAACCGTGAATGTTGTGTGAGAGTAACTCATTACTGAAAACAACTTTTTGTCTTTTTGTCTTTTTAATTATACTAAATGTTAACTTATGAAGCATTTTTATTTTTTATATTTCCTTTTAACTTACTAAAAATTAACTTAAACAACGTCTCAACAACAGTGGAAATGAAGCTGTCCAGCATGCCAGGCATAGATCATGATAATTATTCATTCAGGAACAGAAAGCTGCTGTCATTTGTCACTCTGCTGACATCAGAATCTTTTAAACCAGCTCACCAGTGGGACCCCACTGTGGGACAATGGTTACATAATTGTGATTTGTGTTGTATGTCATGTGTTCATGTGACACTTCCAGGTGTAAACACTGGAAACACTTAAAGGTGTGGCGAGTTCTTGTTTTGAGATTGTGGAATGGGCATAAAAAATGCTAAATTGGAATAAATTGTGACAGCTGTTGCCCTTTGACCTTTAAACCTTTTTGATTGGTTGCTGAGCTTCTCGTTATTGGCTGTGTTCCTCTGTTTGTGTGCTCAGGTGCAGGAAATTTAGGGGCCGTTTACATGGCACTTTCTTTGAGTGAAACCACACTTTTCTCTCTGTGGTTTAACTGTTCATTTACATGACACATATAGTCGTCCCCCTCATTGAATTCAGAGGTTTCCCGACCCACCTCTCAGAGTGGAGGATTTTGGGAGACCGCCTGCTGATAATGTCAGCATTTCCTGCAGAGGTGTTAAAGCACATGCGCACTACAGACGTGTATTTCATGCACGCGCAGACCGACGACATATTTCTATCAACAATAATGGTGGCGAAGTATTCCATACTATTTTCTGTGCTATGACTTGTGGAATATATTTTGAGTCTCATAGTTAATCTACACCAGAATGTAGCTGCTGTGACCGACATCTGTGTTGGGAAGAGTTGCCAGTCGGGTCCAGTTCTAATATCGATATTTATTGAATGAGCCTGTCGAGGCAGGCGGATATTTCCTGTGTCATGCTGGACTATAAACATACTAAATGTGCTAAATAATAGTTTAACAATAATAAACAGTATTTATGTTAGTGGTAGGATATAATGAAGCTATCTGAGCTAAATGAAGTTATCTGGACAGTACGTAATTCAAGTTATGTGATTTAAACGATGCAAAACATGCTGAGTGTTATTAAAGTTGAAAATGAAGACATCAGGTTTAATTTTTATTTATTTATTCAACACCACAAACCGTATGTCACACAAACACTGATAATTAAACTAAAAACTGAAACCACGTTAACCGAACTGTAAACGGCATTAATGAACTGTACCCTTTCTTTCTGTTGTCATCCTGGATACTGACGCAATGTTGTTTATCTGGCTTGTTCAGGCTGTCACTCCTTTTCTTAATGCAGCTTAAAACACTGAATGGACTGGAAAAAAGAACTGAAGGGAATTTTAAATAAATAGTTCATCCAACATCTCTCTCTTCGACGTCCTCCTGCATCACACCTGGGCCGAGGCTCGTTCGGTACGGTTCACCTCTGGTGGGAGGGCAGCTTCTCCTTGCAGGAAAAATAAAAATAAAAACTGAGTTTGCTGTTGTGTAACTGAAGTAAACACAAGCTAACATTATTAAGAATGTTGATTTACATGCTGTAAATCAGCTACTGATTATCACTGGAGTAGAAAGCCCGACATCATCCTCGTTGGTTCTGGTCCACTCAGCGACCAGTGTCGAGCTGTTAGACAAAGCGGTCCCGCTTGGCGACAAATCCATCGACTCGTATCTAAAATCTATCTTTAACTTGTTGTTAAGTTGTTGTTACTGGGCAGTCAGCCCAGAGGAAAGTCCTTACTGAGAGCAGTCCAAGGCAGCGTGCATGTGCATTAGGTGAATGTACAAAATTCACAGCGCCAACTAATAACCCGGCATGAAAACTACAGCAGATTTGTGGGGTGTCCTGCTTTCATGTAAACGCTGAATATGAGCCGTGTCAACGTAGATTTTTTTCCCTTGAATCAACATCTGAAAAAACCTACATTTCCCCCTGCCGTGTCCGAGTAAATGGGGCCAATCTGACAGTTTAACTGTTGACTCAGAGGAGTCAAAAGATTATCAGATCTTATGAAATCCACCTGCAGAGAAATCACTCCAAGATAAACTGACTAATGGTCATATTTAACTTCTTTATCAAATGTGCTCTTTTATTATATGTGCAGATCTGTCCATGTCCTCTCAAGGAGGTTTAAAACGCTCAGCAACCTGTAGACGATTAATTTTGTCGAGTCTGACATCAGACTTCCTCCAATATTTGCCCATCTAGATTAAAAACACACAGCAACATCGCACTAAACCTTTGATTATTTTTTCCTTTGCATCGGTGATGAGCTGACAGGAGACTGACAGCTCATGCAACTTGGTGGCTGCTGGCATCCCTGAGTGCAAAGACACAGTGTGCCCATTCATGTACAGCAAAAAAGACCACCATGACCCCAACTGTCAGCACACATTTCCTTAAAATAAAACACACACGCTTGTGCATGGCGGTTCATCTCAGCCTGCAGTGATCACATATACACACAGACGGATAAATCTTCTTGCTCTTCCACATTAGAGCTGAGGTCCTGTTGTCTGTTAAAGCTATTACTCCCCACCCCATTTAATAAGTCAATTCTCTTGAGTTAACAACTAATATAGCTTTTTGTTTTGTGCTTGGGGAAATGTGTCTTATTTGTAGGCGCCAGTGATTCTAAGTGATGCAACTAAACCAATTACGTAACAGTGATTCAACAATTGGTTTTGTCAACGATGGAAAAGCGAGCGCTGGTGTCAAGTTCAAGGTTTCATATTTAATACGAACTAATAATCCAGCATGTGGCAATATGCCATTTTAACTCTTGCAACTGTCTCGTTTAATTTCAGTGCAAAACAATACATTCTATAATTCTTCCAATCAACCTTCCCTCCTACTCATAAATTAATTTACTCCTTTATTCATTTTTTTTTCCTGTGTGGTTTCTGTGACTTGAAACCCTCAGAGCTTCTCACATCAGCCTGAAAGAGATGGAATTGATATTTCCCCTGGGAAATTAATAGTACAGTGCATTTCTGAACCAGGTAGAGATTAAAAACTGGGCCCATCATAAACCCATTAACCTAGTCATTAGGATCTGGGGAAAGATGGAGTAGGTGGTTGTCTAATTTTAGTGCAACACTGTCACTACTGATCCCAATTCTTGCCTTCAGGCAACACAGAGGAAAGGAAGTATTATTCTTTAAACGTGGGGCTCTTGCACCATCAAAACCTGAGTTTAGATGTCAACACTTTTTCATTGTGTGAATGTTTTTGAAGCATTCACACTATAGTGATCCGTTTTTCTTCCATACGTTTTTCAGCATCTTGTTCCACAGTTTTTGTGCTATTTCAACAAATCATAAATCAAAACGTTCAGCTCAGTCAGGACAATCCTGCTATGACTTTTGGTATTGGTGCAACTTTAGCTTTTTGAAATATTTAGCCTTTTCTGACATTTTTTTCTCATAGAAAATTAATTGAGCTCATTTTCCATCCTTCAAATCTTTAGATCAGTTTACAACCTTTTACTGCTCCTTTCACATTTTGTTCTGCTTCAGCTTCTTTCAGCTTCCTCGTGCACATTAAAACATTTTTTCAGCTACTTGCAGCAGTTTTTTTTAATTGTTTTACTAACTACAACATTTTTGTGCATCTAACTTCTTTCAGCTTATTTCTGTAAGTTTCAGCTATTTCTGCTATTTCAGATATTTAGCTGTTTTTATGCTAATTTTAGCTTTTTCATCTAATTCCACATCTTTTTCTCTCAGTTTAACTTCCTAGTTGGGCATAATTGTGCTCTCTTCACTTCTTTCTGGTAATTTAAGCTTATTTCTGCTTTTTTAGCTACTCTTCAACTATTTATTGCCATTCTCTGCCTTTTTTTTTTAGCTAAATTTTAAATTTTTGTGCTAATTTCCTTCAGCAAATAAGTGTTCTTTCTGCTTTCTTCATCCAACTTTGGCTTGTTGTTCGATTTCAGCTACATTTCAGCATGTTTTTAGCTAATTTCAACTGTTTTTTAGTAAATTCTTCAGCAGTAAGCGTTCGCACTGCAATTTCGCAGGAAATTCATTTTCTCTAGTTATTTTTAGGACCATCTTGTACAAACATGAAGAGTTTATACATTTTACAAACTAATCAAAGCCATTGGACAAATAAGTTTTTATGAGAAGGCTCAAAGTGGACTGAATGTTCTTCTTTTATTTCATGTAGAGGCTGGCGACAGAAGCAGAAAACTTTCAAAAGCAACATGAGTGGACAGTCAACAGTGAGGTGAGTGGCTACAACCCAGTCTGAAACATTAACGTGAGCTGTGTCGTGCACAGATCACCATTCAATCAGAAGGAAGTGTTATTAACTGTTCGTTAGCACCACGGTAATTAGAAACCTCATTACAGTGACAACCCTGAGATACAAATGCAATTACAGTATATCTGAGCAACAAGCTGCAAAACAGTTATGGTCATGATGAACACACTTCCTCTCCATTCATTTGAATATTAACAATCCATTAAATGAGGGCTCACGGCTGATAAAATGAACTTATTAAATAATTTGATCACATTCAATCAGTGGTTTTAATAGATTTTTATGCACTGATGCTGTTCAGCTTTTCCTGTTTTAAATGCAAAATGTCTTTTTTTCCCTGCAGCTTTTTAACAAATGACTAATACCTGATCGAAATTCAACTTTCCATTTTAATCCAAGTAGTTTTAATGTATCCCCAGAGCTGTTTCCTTGTACTGTAATCACTAAATGTTTCTGTATGATTTAAAGTCATGCATTTTTCTTTATGCTGAAAAGCAAAATGAAAAACTAAATCTCTGGGGGTGGATTGGTTTATTCACCAAGTTTGCTTGTTTAGCAAATGTTGTACAATTTTTCTTCATATAAATCAGGATTTCATCATGTTTTTAAACACAAATATTTGGTAAGAAATACAACAAATTTAATTTTAATAACAAATAACTTAGATAAAACTTTTTAGAATATTCTGTAGATGTTTGATTTTGATTTGATTGATTTTTATTGTCAATTCTGCATATGTACAGGACATACATAGAAATTGAAATTGCGTTACACTCCTACTCAAATTGCAGCAAACAACAACATTAGCAAAAATAAACTAACACAACTAGTTATATAAAAAAATATAAAAAAATATAAAAGTGAACAGCAGCAGGACCTCTGATGCAACGTGCTCAATAGTGACTAACAGGAGACAAAGGGACGCTGACTGAAGACAATAACATGATGAGAGGTAGATAATGGATGTGCAAGGCCAGAGTAAACAATAGTGCAATATAAAGTATAAACCTGAGAAACTTAGTAAAGTGAAGGTGTGCATACCGGTTCTATATAGAGTCACAGTTATGTACTGATGAGGTGATTAAGTGGAAATGACAATACCAGAATTACCAGAATAAAGAATAAACAGGACGAGTTGATCATAACAGTAGTGCAAAATATAATGCAATAAACAGTAGAGTGAGCTTGTAGGCTGTTAAAGTCATGTTGATCAGTTTGTTTAGTGTATCACGGGAACATTTATTTTAATTTATCTAAAAAATATAGTTCTTGACTCATGTTGCACACGCTGTATGTATGGTGCTGTAAAAAGTGTCCACACACTTGTAGATTTTTTAGTTTTTGATTTTTTTGTCATTCTTGTTTCAGATCATCCAACAAATCTGTTAACATTGTCTTCACCTGATTCTTCCTTTTTGGGTATCAAAGAAATCATCATAATAAATAAAACTTGAGTTAATTAAAAAAATATGCAATTTTAATTTTTTAAGGGAAAAAAACTATCCAAACCAACATGGCTCTATGTAAAAAAAGAATAAATAAATAAATTGTTGCCCTTAAATCTGTGACTGCAGCACTAACAACTACACACTTAAACACTTCTGTTTCATTTAGACACAGTTTCAACTCAAAATAAACAAAAAATTCAACAAAATACTCAGAATATCAGTATGATTTTTGAATTTTATGCACATTGGGTGTTCTGCACACAGCCTCCACAGAGGTGTATGATAGTCTGACATTAGTGTTACCATCACCTCTGCAGATTGTTGTCTATTCATTCAACCTTTATTTATACAGGTTAGTCCCATTGAGCCTCGGGGACTCGTTTACAAGAGAGACCTGGATATAACACGACAGTATCAGATGCTACATGTTGAAAAACAGTATGCTGATGAACTTAGCTTGACAAAGTAATGACTCAGTCTCCTGTTATTAGCTCTTTTACATGTAAATTGCTGTAAATCAGAAAGCAGATGCTAGTGTTTAACTCAGTGTGTTCAGCTAAATAACTTGTGATGTAATTAAACCCCCTTCAGGGCAACATAACAGTAGCAGTGGCAGGAGCACTTGCTCTGTGACTGTACAGTTGGGAGACAGGTGGTGGGAGTCAATGAAGCGGCTCTGAGGCTCCGGGCCATCAAAACATCAACAGCAAAGCTAGCTCGTTAGTGCCCGGCTAGCATGTGTGCTGACAGCAAGCCCACAGCGGTGCAACCAGTACGATCTCTTCATTAAATCTCAGTGTGGAGCTTAAAGAGTTGAAATTAAATCTATTGAAATACAGAATCAGGTCCTCTTTGCTCATTTGCGTTTTTAACTGGATACAAGTCTGTTTTAATGTTAATCTGCTCTGTGGTCTCTTTGGTCTCATAAAATAATTTATTTCATGCTTTAAGAAGTGCTTTCATCCTCATACTATCAGATTTTTTTTAAATTTAACTTGTGGATTGTGCACAGTTTTTTTTTTGTCATCAATCATCGTTATGTGCACTAGATTTATATTTAGTTTATTTCTTATTTGAATTGTTTTCATTTACTTATACACCACAATATTTATACTTGCACCTAATTGGCTAAAAATGATTAAGGATCATGTCTGGACTAAAGATTAACAAAAATAGTCTTTAATCATGATGACAGGATAAATGTAAAAATGTAATGACAAAAAAAATAGAAGGCTGTGGTCCCATTTCTGAACCTATTTGTTCATGTTTTATTATTTATATTACAAGTTATATGATAGACCTTTGGTAATGAATGATGCATTTTTAGTTGTTTTTATCAAAGACTACTTGTCAAAAATGTTAAATCAAAAACATTGAAAAAATATTTAGTTTGACAGCTACTATTTAATCTTGTCAGACTTTAAAATCATTGCAAAACTTTGTTTTTCCTGCTCTTTCTTCTCAAAATAAAATATTTATCGTTCATGTCGTTTTGTTTCTTTTTTGATCTCTTCGCAGGCTAACAAACTACTTTACTACAATGCCAAAGATGGTGTAAGTACATCCTAATTAACTTAATAAGATGCAGGTATGCAAAAGACTGGTAAATTTGCCCACTTGTTCTTTGGACAGGTGTGGTTGTTACTTAAAATAAAGCTAAATGCTTAAAGTAAAGCTAAATGTCTGCTCTAATAAATCTAAATTGTCATCTTGTTAATTTCACTTTCACACTGGGGGGGGGGGGGGGAGATCACCCAGTCAATGTCACACTAAATTTTACAGACACACCCTCAACCTATTGAGTTTTACTGTCTAGATACTTGCATTTTTAGTTTGCTTCACATTCTGCCAAAGTTAACATTTTATTGCCTTTTCACAGTTGAATCTGTCAAAACAAACGTCTGTACTGTATCCTACATTCACTAATGCACGAACTGCAAAACTCCACACGTGCTGGAAATGACCCAAATGATTTCTGAGGGGATTTTGATCAGTTTAACTTATGGTGTTGTTTGGTCCCTTTCACTCAGATAAATAGGACAGCACTAGAAATAGAGCAAGAAGAAGAAGAGGAGAAAAGGAACCGGTTCATTCCGGAGGATTTTGAAATAGACCCAGACTTCAAACGGCATGTTACCTACAACACCACCGCCGTCCATATCCCTACTGACATATATGAAGGCTGTAAGTACGCACGCACACACATACTTTTCTCCTTGTAAATCCTTTTTTAGTATAGGATGTTTCCCAAACACAATCTTTACCCTACAATAAATATTCTCACGATCACAACATTGTTTCAGTCCTGTATAATTGCTTTCATTGATTATAAACAGTAATGATTAGGAGAGAGGGGGACCATAGAGTGTGTTACTACAGGTGGATCACGCTCTTAAGCCTCCCTGGTAAGGTCTATTCAGGGGTTCTGGAGAGGAGGGTCTGTCGGATAATCGAACCTCGGATTCAGGAGGAGCAGTGCGGTTTTCGTCCTGGTCGTGGAACACTGGACCAGCTCTACACTCTCAGCAGGGTCCTGGAGGGTGCGTGGGAGTTTGCCCAACCAGTCTACATGTGCTTTGTGGACTTGGAGAAGGCATTCGACCACGTCCCTCGGGGAGCCCTGTGGGGGGTACTCCGGGAGTATGGGGTACCGGGCCCTTTGATATGTGCTATTAGGTCCCTGTACGACCGGTGTCAGAGCTTGGTTCACATTGCCGGAAGTAAGTCGGGCTCGTTCCCAGTGAGAGTTGGACTCCGTCAAGGTTGTGCTTTGTCACCGATTCTGTTCATAACTTTTATTTCAAGGTGTTGAGGGGATCCGTTTTGGTGGCCTTAGGATCGCTTCTCTGTTTTTTTGCAGATGATGTGGTCCTATTGGCTTCATGAAGTCATGATCTACAGCTTTTGCTGGAGCGGTTCGCAGCAGAGTGTGACGCGGCCGGGATGAGGATCAGTTCCTCCAAATCCGAGGCCATGGTCTTGAGCCAGAAAAGGGTAGAGTGTCCTCTCCGGGTCAGGGAGGAGGTCCTGCCCCAGGTGGAGGAGTTCAAGTATCTCGGGGTCTTGTTCACAAATGAGGAAAAATGGAGCGTGAGATCGATAGGCGGATAGGTGCAGCGTCGGCAGTGAAGCGGGCGCTGTACAGGTCTGTTGTGGTGAAGAGAGAGCTGAGTCAAAAGGTGAAGCTCTCAATTTACCGGTCGATCTACGTTCCTACCCTCATCTATGGTCATGAGCTTTGGGTTGTGACCGAAAGAACGAGATCACGGATGCAGGTGGCCAAAATGAGTTTTCTCCGCAGGGTGCCTGGACTCTCCCTTAGAGATAGGGTGAGAAGCTCGATCATCCGGGAGGTACTCAGAGTAGAGCTGCTGCTTCTCCATGTCGAGAGGAGCCAGTTGAGGTGGCTCGGGCATCTGGTTAGGATGCCTCCTGGACACCTCCCTGGTGAGGTGTTCTGGACACGTCACACTGGGAGGAGACCCATAGGAAGACCCAGGACACGCTGGAGGGACTATGTTTCTCAGCTGGCCTGGGAACGTCTCGGGATTCCCCCGGAGGAGCTGGTCCAAGTGGCTGGGGAGAGGGAAGTCTGGGCCTCCCTACTTAAGCTGCTACCCCCGCGACCCGACCCCGGATAAGTGGAAGAAAATGGATGGATGGATGGATGGATGGATGATTAGGAGAGAGGTCAGGACATGAAAGATGCTTAAGGGATGTTGTCAGAAGTTGAATGCAACACAAAATATGATTTAGTCCTAAAGGTCACTCATGTGAGATAGTCCAGAATATGTAAATATGTACTATTCAGACAAAAAGTTGATTTAAAAAATAAAAGATATATCATAGTGTTGGGTGATGTATGATATTGTGGTCAATGTAGGGTTTGGACCCAGATTCAGGCAGACATGACGAGCTCCAGTAATAAAAAACTTGTTTATTAAATAAACAAAAACAAAACGCTGACGTGGCAGCAACAACTTATATTAAAAAAAACAGGGAGTACAAGAGGGAGGACTGAGACATCTGGCAGGTAGCTAAGACAATGATCCGCTGTCGGGGCGGAGATCAGAAATGGTTAATATAGAACAGGGTGTGAGTGACAAGTGACAGCACCTGGGTGATTCATCATGGGTAACGGGTGTGAGCGGTAAGCTGTTTTAATAACTGGTGAGGCTGACTGAGGATGAAAATGAGATCTGGCAACCAAAACACAAGGGACAGAAGAATAAAACATAAACCACGAGAAATTAAACTAAAAGATAAACTACTAAATTACAGAAAAACACAGACTATGACAATACAAGATGATATATCCTCCAGTAACACCATAGGAAGGCTAAATCCATAGCATACTGTACATTTGTGTCTGTTTGTTTAAAAGTCATGAGTCAAAGCTTTTTTTTTTGTTATTATTAGCTCCTTAAAGAAACCAATCTTGGAATGGACTAACCTCTGTCGGGATCAAACAGGAAATGTCAGTTTAACTTTAGTAAGAATAACAACCTTCCATGATGTAGTTCTCAGCCTTTAAGCACTGTCTGCATTGTAGACAGCTCTACAAGAAGCCATTCTCATCTATAAATAGTCAAAACTCCAACTATCAAGTGGTCAGCCCTCTTTGCTCTGCTCCCCAGCTGCTCTTTTCCTTCATGTGGACTCTGGCAACTTTACTTGGCAGTTTCACAGCTCGTTAGGACTTCCAGCATTGATTTCTGGAGACGAGCTGTGTGTTGTTGTGGTCTGTTTGTCTCACACTTGAATTTCTCTTGCATACATAGAATGTTGATCACTCTGATGGTCACATCTTGTGACCCATTGTTGAATTAAATTTTTTCCACCAGTCATGTAACCCATTTTGTTGAATGGTTGTCTTTTGTCAATTGGTGCACCCATGTTTAACACAGTAATATCTCTTCCATTGGCTAGTTCTACGCATCCACCATATTTTTCAGCCTATAAGGCGCATTAAGTGAAACTAAAACATTTTGACAGGTTTTTGAGCGTCGTGTAGCACATAAAATCGGTTTGAGGTCAGTAAGCACAACCAGAATTAATACATAAAGTGCACCGGATTATAAGGTACGGCAGAGCTTTAGGGCCATGCTAAGAAAAAAAAGACATAAAATTACGAGAATAAAGTCGTAGAATTACGGGAATGAAGTTGTACAAGACTTTTTTTTCTACGAGTCGGATCCACAACGCGACCTGTCAATCAAACCAGTGGGCAGGTCAGCAAATGACCAATCCGAAGCTAAATGCTTCCTCACCCAGTGAGTCGCTGGGTCTCTTCAGCCTCTTCTGGCATATTTATTGAAGACCTCTAACAGCACTGCATGTACACAGTTTCGCTCTCTGAGCACCGTTTTCAAACGGAAACAAAAATGAAAGTCACGACATAATGACGTCACTTTATGCATCCCAGAAGCAGCATACAAAAACACAACAGTACGTGGCAGTATTGGGACACGTTTTGAGTTAGAGCGTCAATAACAATAAAGTTTAACAAGCATTTTTCATTTTACCACAGTTAAAATGCAGTAAACCCTGATTTATTGTGTTGGAGTTCAGATAATATTACGACTCATTTAACTTCAGATTGATCATTTGCTGACACGCTCACTGGATTGTTTGACAAGTCGTGTCATGGATCAGACTCTCAGACTTTTACAACTTTATTCTTGTAATATTAAGCCTTTATTCGACTTTATTTTCGTAATTTTATGACTTTTAAATTTTTTTCTTAGCGCGGCAATGTAATTTTTAAGTGCACTTTATAATCCAAAAAATACAGTATGTAAAAGCGTATAGATCAACTGATCCAAAGAATCTGATGAGCCTGTTTTTCATTTGTCGTCAAACCACACCTCCATCTTTTTTTATTAGGTTTGACTCAGAGTAACAGAGTCTAATATACAAAGAATAATATCACATTACTACATATTAGCATAGTTTTACATATTGGCACGTTAATATAACCTGTTATAACCGTGGCCTTGAAACTTTTTATTGAATAAAATCAGACTGCAATGGTAAAACAATAGGCATTTACAGACAAGTAATGGGAAACCACACAAATGCTTTGGTGCATAATCCCTTTCAATTAGAGATTCCAGGTTGTAGATTTTGCCCCCTAATTTAGGAATAGGTTGGTTTAAGAAGATTAGTGAACGTTTTGTAAAATTGTCTAATTTATTATTATTATTTCAAAGCTTTTTGATAAAAGGAAATTTGTGTAAATGCAGGAGTGAGAGTATCAGTCAAATAATTCAATTCAGTTTTAACTCAGTCAGTTCATGACAAAAGTCCTCTTGGTGCATTTGGAAATAAAACAAGAAATTTATGCAATTAATTTTCAGTTGCATGTAATCTAAGTTCAAAACAATCCGATTCTAATTCAAACTAAATCACAATTTAATTATAATATAGTACAATTAGATCAGTTAGTGTATAAGGTGTCAATTAAAATGTGTCTAAAGAAATCAATAGGAATATTAATAATGAAGTAATACTGCCAACAATAATTAAAAAAAAGCATTAATGAACCTGCACTCATAAATGTAACGTGTTGTAGTGCAGGTTCAAAACAGCCACCAAGACGAGCGCAGTCCAAACAATTTTACATCAGCTTATCTTTATCTTCTAAGAATTTAGTTGATAAATCTCCTGCAGAGAGCTTGGTGTAATCTGCTTTAGCCATGCTACCTCCTCAACAAGCCAAACCCACCTGAACTCCAGCTCTTACTTTTCAGGCGGTGCTTATGTTTGCAGGACAGAACTAGTCAAGCACGATATAAACAAGTGGTTTTAGAGATCAAAATGTGAGCTGATTTGATATTTCCTCACATGTAGACTCTCCTTCATTAGGCGATCTAAAAAAAAGTAACAAATCTTCCTTGGGAGAGCTGAACAGAACAGTGTGGGAGTGGCAGCCATATCCTTGGGGTTATTAGTGTGTTATTCTAGGACACTGAGTAGAATGCAAGGACGCTCTGAGAAACAGTTAGGGTGTGAGAATGTCTGAGGATACACCACACACACACTCTGAACAAGCCGTGCCCTTCCTTTGGGAACCCGTTTTTGGTGTATACAGATGTGCAGTAAGTTTAGGAAGGAGACACTGGAACATCCTTTAACAATAAAGAGAACATGCAGGTGAAGCCTTTGAGACCAGTGGATTATGT